CTTGAAATCCGTATAACAAGATTAATGGTTGAAATGGTTGATTGCAAAAAGTCAAAACTGAACAAATACTTACAGACACGGGAAATAGTTAACACAAATTTTAAAACCACAGAGGGATCGAAATTATAGATTGCTCTATAATGTTAAGTAATATTTATCTCGAGGGCAATTTTTTTAAATAAATTGTGATATTAAACCAAATTTTTTATTCTATTGAGACTAATAATAATAATACAATAAATGAAAATATTCCTAAATAGGATGAAATTAGTAAAAGCTAGAAAATACTAGAGTCAGTTAAAAGGTATTTGAAAGAAACTAGAATGAGTGGAAAGAACTCGAAAAAGTTGGAATTGGAATGAGCTGAAAAATGTTGAAAATTCATAGTTCGACCCGAAATGAATATAGCATTAGAATATGTTCTTTAGAGTTTAAACTCTCAACTTTTTTTCCCCAGTTTGTTCTTTCTAACTTCTTCCAATTTTCCACATTTCCCCTTTTCAATCTTTTCCAAATAATGACTTTAAAAGTGGTGTGTTTTGTCATGTATTATTATTATTACTATTGTGATTAGTATTGATATTATTACTATTATTATTATTATTATTATTATTATTATTATTATTATTATTATTATTATTATTATTATTATTATTATTATGTTTATAACTATATTTATAATTATTCTAGTTTTTACATTTTATTTTTTATATAAATATTACGCAGTACAATTTTACTTGGAAAATTGCTTTTTATTAAATTACGTGACACCAAACTATGTTCCAAAATTTATGAATGTTTTATTAACTAGTCATTTTTTGGATCTTCTTTTGGGATTTTTCTTTCTTATTTGTTCCTCCCTTATATGTTTCAAGTTTCAACATATTGTCATAGATGTGCTTAGTTACATATTTTTAGTTCTTGTGAAGAAAGATCGATGAAGTGTATTTATTTTAAATCTGTTTATGCAGATTACTCCCCGAAAACACTAGTTTTTTTTGCCATTGATGGGGACCGTCCTTGATTCTGCAAACAAGGTACCTTGGAAATTTTCTGCAAGCTCAATATTATTGCACCACATCTCCATTTTTCCCACCCCCACCCACTGCTAATGTATCCAGCAGTACTTGGAAGTCATTGATTGATTCCAAAACTAGTAGAGTATGGGCTTGTGTTTGTATGGATTGGTGATAAATAATTGAAAATTGTACACATGACATAAATTTGAAGGCACCGGAAATTTGTCGTAGTTATGGGCACGGCGTGGATCAACATGTGTTTATTTGTCTTGAATAGTGTTTGATAAATTAGGTTTTATTGCAGGGAGCAAATGGAAGCAGCACGGTCGATAAAAAGGTTAAGGTTGTGTTTGTATTAGGTGAGTACGTGGGTTTTACATAAGCTATTCATCACCATCATCATCTTAAGATATTCACAATTCACAAGTACCGATAAGATTAACATTGTGTTTTGCGAATTCTAATAACGAGTTTCACATCCCATACTCCCCCATTTGGCAAATCAAATATAATGAATTGGATTGTTGTTTTACTTAATGGCAACAGATTGTGAATAATCAACTCGAAAGTATTTGTTAATTAATGGTAGTTTCTCTATATTAGGATTTGTACTCCACGTTTAGTAAGTTCTGCTCTTTTACTTTGCAGGTGGCCCTGGAAGTGGCAAGGGCACACAATGTGCGAAAATAGTTGAGCATTTTGGGTACACCCATCTAAGTGCAGGAGATCTCCTTCGTGCAGAGATCAAGTCCGGATCGGAAAATGGGTAATATTGCCATCTACACATCTGAGTTGACACCAAAGACTAGGAGCTTTGACGAATTTGACCTCCATACCCAGTGTACTTATGTGAAAAAATGATACGGAGTATGTAATTTTTTTTGGGTTTTTGACTCGAAGAATTCAAGAGAATGAAATAACCAAAGAATGTCAAAAAATAGATGTTCTTAACACAAATGAATATTTAAAAGAGATAACATTAAGGCTCTGTTTGTTTCTAGGAAAACATTTTCTCATTTTTGTCAGTTTTGTGTTTGTGGCATCAGAAAACACTTCCCTTTGTTCTTAGAACATCTGCGGAAAATGAATTCCTCTTTTGAAAAGATGAAATCATTTTCTTGTAGTAGTTTTATTTTTCATATTTTTGTTGTTTAAACATTATAGACTATAGTAAGCATAGAACTTATGTTTCTAGAGAATATTTCCCTAGGAGTACTTTTTCTACACACTGTTTTCCTGTAACCAAGAAATTATAATATGAACGGGAGATCACTAAGGTGAAGATGAATGTGTATAATTCAATGGGAGTTGTCCTTATGGCAATTTTGTCATTTTAGAAGTCTGAATTTTAACTGAATGCTTTTTTTACCTTATAGTACAATGATTCAGAACATGATCAAAGAAGGAAAGATTGTACCTTCTGAAGTAACAATTGGTCTCCTCCAACGCGCAATCCACGAGAATAAGAACGACAAGTTTCTTATTGATGGCTTCCTCGCAATGAAGAAAATCGCGAAGCTTTTGAACGTGTTGTAAGTTTTCTTGGAAATTTAAATGTTTAAATTTGCATCAATGTTACCCAGCAGCAAAGTTATAAGGTACTCTTGCATTTATCACTTGCAGACTGGACTTCTTCCAGAATTTGTCCTCTTCTTTGATTGTTCTGAGGAAGAGATGGAGAGCCGCCTTTTGAGCCGTAATCAGGTCTTTTATATATGGAGTATATAGTAATTAGAGGTTTCTGGTCTGTGTATATGTGATATGTTTTTTTTTGTTTCACTTTTATTATTGCGTGATTTTTATATTTTCTGTGTTGAAGGGAAGAGAAGATGACAATATAGACACAATTAGAAAGCGATTTAATGTTTACATGGAGTCCAGTCTCCCTGTTATTGAATACTACAAGTCAAAGGGCAAGGTTCAGAGGGTACTATCTTCACATCTGACTTAAAGTTTCACCCTTTCATTGAAAATCACCATTATAATATCTTGTGATGCCTTTCAGATTGATGCTTCCAAGCCTGTTGGTGAAGTTTTTGAAGAGGTTAAAGCTGTGTTTGCCCCATCTGAGGAATAGGTAAAACATTGTTATTGGTTGCTCTTAGAACTGAGGATGCCTGCTAACAAAAGGGAAAAATGATATTCAGGTGGTTTATGTGATGCAGCTTATGAGACTTGACCGGGTGCTCAAGTTTCGGATCAGTTCTTTCCGTACTTGATTTCATAAAACAACTTATAGCCTGTTTCCATCTTTGACACATTTCTTTTTATATGTACTTTTTTTGTCTTTGCCCATGTTGAAATTAATTTATCCTGTCTCTCCACTAACATGAAGTGCCATTGCCCATTACCTCTTAGTCTATACTCTCTGCTCAGTAAGTAACACATTATGCTCACAGTATGAGTTAAGTAGGTGCTAGCATCACGGTGATCCAAACAGGAACTTGTCACTCTATAAATCACCCAACATATTATAGTGGCACTATGGCATGCAAATTCAGCCATCATGTCCTGTTTTCCTTGAATCTTTAACCCTTTCCTGATATGAGAACCCAAGAATTAAATAACTGCTAAGATTGCTTCTGTTCAAGCCAAGCCAAATCCAGTACATGAGTATATCTAGGTTTTTGTGACTGCCTCCTAAAATCTAGGTTTTGGTAGAACACTCATTTCTTGTCTACCTATTAATATATGAAAGGTTGGGAGTCAAAGTAAACGATTATCATCAGCATCACGATTTGTGTCTTTTCCCTTTGTTGATTTGCTCTATGTGTTGTTTCACTTGTTTGTTTTTTTACCTTCCGTCTTTATAGCTGTGGCAGATTTTACCACGTGTTGCAGATTGCAGTTTAAGGAGTGCATTTGTAACAAAGTGCTATAATTCAATGTGGCATTGGACGAGGAAGTTGATTTGGTTCTTGTTCTGTTATAGAGAAAGGTTATATTTAGGAATAATAACAATAATTCCATTCATTTTAATCTTTTTTTTACACTTGATGTAGTTAAACCATGTTGAAGTCTGAGTGAGGCTGTTGCCTGTTTGTTATACGGAGTACTTCGGCAAACTAAGAGAAATATGATGTATTATTATCTTCGCCTCTATAGTCTATAAATTTCTCGTGCATTTGATTTGAGCTCAAATTATCGTCTACTTTCTCCGTCCTTGGTTAGTGAAACCTCCGCTTGTCACTAAATTGTGTCAACTAGTGAAGCAAGCAGTAGAAACATGCGTTTTAAAATGTCCATTGGCAATGGAGCTAAACGAGTCATAATTGACAATGCTTCAGCTTCGAGTAAATAATGGACTAGATCAAAATGACACATCAAAATTCTTTTGCTTCTTACTCCTAATGAAGTTTTGGGCAGTAAATGCAACTCTGCATCAAGGGTCTACTGGATACAACTTCTCTATATTGTTCCGACCCTGCAGTTGTGGGATTTTATTGGGTTGTTGTTGATGCACATATTCTATGATGATGTGTTGGCATAGTGTTTATAAAATATCCACTGGTTGATTGATACTCTTCATTTTATTCTATCAAAAAATTAAACTAAACTTTGTTTTCAAAACAATGTTGTTTTGGTGATGCATTGACTCCAAAGAATGGTTCTCTCTTTTTTGTAAAAGCAACTCCTAATTGGTGTGAAAAGAATTATATTTCCTAACTTATGCCCCTAGTTCATATTTATCCCACAAGTAACACATTTACACTATGTTTGGTTGAAGGAATTTGGAAGGAAAAGAAAAGAAAATGATTTTCTCTCATTTTCCTCACCAAAATGGGAGGAATTTGATTTTCCTTCCTCTTAGTACATTTTGCTTTCTGATTTTCTTTTCTTTCCAATTTTCTTTTCTTTTCCTTTCTAACCAGACAAAGAAAAAAAGGTTTCCTCCTATATTCTTTTTCTTTCTCTACCAAAAATCCACGAACCAAAGACTGTTAAGAAAATGATGAACCCCATTATCAAGGTCCTCCAAAACTATAGACACTTACCTTATTGGAGTGAACTGAGTTCTAACATTAGTGTAAAACATAAGAAGTGAGATAACATTTCAAGATCATATGTTGTGGTGCACAACAATGTCATCATCATATGCATATACAATGCTGACCATAAACATATTTAAAACTTTTGACACAATCCAGAGAAGAAAAAAAGTACCAGTCCACACAACATCCATGGATAACAAGGCACTTGGAGGAAATTAAGGCGAAAAAAAACTCATCGTTCAATGATGTGCCTGTAATGGGAGTGGGCGGAAACCATGGCTAAGGGCAGCTCTCCAGACTTTGTCAATGTCATCAACTGGGATCATCTCTGTGTCGCAGCCGCACTCGTGCACGTTCCATCCTTCCAAGGTGTGCACGACCCCACCCGCCCTTGCTGCGCTCATTGCCCTCCTCGGCAGCCAATTCTATGCACACATACATATATACATGTGATGATACTGATGATGATGGATCAGAAGTTGCTTTGCAGGTGAATATTTTATATTATTATTATTATTTTATATTTATTATTCTTCTAATTATTATTATTATGATTTAATTATGGGAGACAATGAAATTCAAACTTGTGACCTTTAGGTCAACAAGGTTCTGCTATCATATCAATGAACCAACTCATCGACTTAAAGCACAAACTAGTTCAGGTAAGTTTATACTTCCTTTTGTACCCAAAATAATTTCACACTTTTCTTATTTAGATTTCCCAAAACACTTAACACTTAAACTTTTTTCTCTCTATTAGATACATTTCATCCATACATTTTTCATTTTCTTTAGACCAAAGATTGATAAGTGTAATAATGTGTATAGGTACAAACCTCGCAGGCATGCAAGTTGTGGAGAGATGGTGGGGCCAACATTGCTGGGGTGTAATGGTAGAAGCAGTCATGAAGGCGGAATTTCTTGGGAGGTATTTGGGAGAAGGGGATGAACAGTGTCCCTTTTTTTGCCATCTTCTGTTCCTCTTTTGTCAGTTCATCTCCAACTAACCATACCTGTTAAATCCTTGTTTCATTTAATTAATCCTGATTTGTAATAATAATTGAAATTAACTAAAACTGTATTAACTTTTAATTACCTTTTGTGTCAAACTCTTGGACAAGACAAAGTTGCTTTGGGATTTAGCAGCGAGCTTAAGCTTCTCATAATCATTTTCAGAGGAAGTAACCACCTGAATGAGATAATGAATTAAGTTCTGTTGACACTTATATTCAAGTTATCAGTCTTTCCTTCCTTTTCCAGAAAGGGGACTTAATTTTTCATTCCTACTTAATAATAATACGCCCCCGTCCTGCCGGGTTATGCCAGTTTAGTGTGTTTTACACTAAACATTGGTAAAATTCAGTGCTTTTTAGTGTTTACTATTTATGAAGTTTTGTGCAATAAACGTATTTATGTATCAATGCTAAACAAAAAATGACCTCTTTTTCTTACAGGAGTAAGGTGGTTGCCCGCGTGCGTTTTTTACTCCATACACAACAGAGCTGGGATTATATTAGGTATGCTATATTTGTTATAAAAATTATATTTTGTTGTCTGTGGAGCTCTCTTGACTCTTGGGAGGGTAGACTGATGAATGTTAGAGTTAAATAAATTACCTTGATCCCTTTCTGGCTTAATGCACAAGCAATGGAGATGGAGACTTTGGTGAGTTTTCCCCTAAGGAGAACCTCCGTAGTCCCCTTTGGAATTGTGTTAACCACTATTGCACTTGCCAAACTGCTTCCATCCACTAATTTTACTCTCATCTTTGGGTACTTCTGGATGTAAGCCTCTCCATTTTTGTTCAGCTCTTCACTCTGTATAAACAAACAAACACATATATTTACCTAACCACTCCTTCCCTCTAACTTTATTCATACACCAACCAGATTGGCTCGGTTCGACCAATTCAATGACCGTTGGTTTTACTGATCTGGTTCGAACGCTGAAAACCCAATGTCCAAAAACCCGCGATATGCGTGAAATGATGAAGTGGCTTACCTGGTTTAGAAGACCTAAGCTTAAAACCTTGACACCTTTTGAATCTGCTTCTAATATAGCCTCCTCAATCATGCTGTTTATGGCTTGGGATTGCCATTTCAGGAGGTACTACAAACCAATACACACACACACGCACATAAATATTCTTTCTCCCTTCCTCCCACTAAAAAAGATCTTTACGTTTATTGAATTGGTTGAATTTCAAGGTCGAAGAAAATACCTGAAATTTGTACTTTGGTATGACCCAAGATTGTATCTTGATTTTGTCCAAAACATTTCTCTCCAAGACGAAAGTTTGGGCGTAGACGCAGTTCAAAACCATGGTCCATAGCGTGACCGGCCACATGAACCAAAGAGCCCACGTGTGTCTCTGGGGCATGGAGGCCCAAGACGAAAGCCCGATCCGTAAAAAGTATACGGATTCCGGGTTGGTAAAATGGGTCAAGTGGACCAAATCTGGAGAGTCATCTACCCTCTCGAGGGACGTTTGGTACAAAGTGTCCGTTGACTTGTCCATTGTGCCATAGATATAGTCATAGAAGGGCATGAACAATGAATAATTTGTTCTAAACTGGGTGTGATGTAGAGAATGAAACCTGTTCAAACAATCCCAGTTTGGTTGCTCAGAATAAAAAAAATTCATATAAAACTTTTTTAAAAAAATTGAAAAAAAACTCCGTTTATAGTTAGAATCTGTTGAACTTACGAGGGTGTGTACATGAGGTATTTGAGAGGGGGGAAGAATGTAAAGACCCATTTGGGGATGAGCTCAAAGTTGCAATGGCCCATGTTATTCATGAGGTCAATATAAGTGATATATCCAAACACGCCTATGATCGACGCCGTTCGTGTTAACACTGTCGTTAGTGTCGGAATCGCAAATAACGCGAAATACGCCATGTGCTCTCCGAATGGATGAATCACCGCTGTAAAAAGTCAATCTCATTTTGTTAAGGTCAGTCTCTCCGCAAAATATAACGTATAATCTGTTGTATAATGTTTGTATATCTGCAGTGAGTACTCATTTATAAGTAACTTAACACTCATTTTTTGAGCAACTGAATACTCATTTTTGAGTAATTGAATACTCATTTTATAAAATTCAGTTATGCTCGAAAATGAATACTCAGCTACTCCAAACTGAGTATTCTCTTTCTCAAAAATGAGTATGCAGTTACCCAAAAATAAGAATTCATGTGGTAGCACGAGAAACACCGTACATCCGAAACATCGTTTCATTCATGACACGAAGTGCACTTTTGGAAAGTCAATATCGAAATACACTTTAAAATACTTTAAAAGGGATTTTTGGGGACGGAGGGAGTGGTTCATAGAAATAGGAGAATCTTTTGACCCCACTCTAATGTGTCATATTATGACACTAGGTGATTTCGATAGTTTTTTTCATTTTTGGCAACATGAAGAATAACATATTATTAGCAACGGGAAGAAGAACATGAAGAATTTTTTTGGACGGAGGGAGTTTCGTATATAATAGCAAGGCTCACATGTAATGGGCTCGGTGACGATGGAGGAGTGGTGGTGGGAGTGGTAGCGGGAGTAGAGATAGTGGTGGTGCAACGCCCGGTGCAGACAGTAGTAGAGGAATTCCACCGGGCCGGCGTGCAAAAATGCCATTAGCAACACGCCGTCCGTCCGCCATGCCGGCAACCGTGAAGCTATTGACAGTGCATTGTTGAATGCGTAAAAGAATACCCCACTCAATATTATTTGATCGTCCCTGTATAAATAAATAAATAAATAAATAAAAAGTGGATAGATATTAAAAAAACCATTTGAGCACGTTTTCTTGATTATTATTTTTACTTATTTTATTTTTGTTCCATTTTTTTAATTTTATTTTATCACATGGATGTAACAACTGTGAGTTGGTTTCGGCATCTTATGTGGGGAAAGCTCGCCTGCATGTCCTAACCACTTTTAGAAACAAATATCATTTCCTAGTACGTAATTCATGTAAGTTGTCCTTTTACTATATTGAAATTTAGTGTAATGTTACGTGAATACATGACCAATGTGAATTCAAATGATCGTCTACATTAGATTTTGATACTTCCTCACTTAGATTTTCTTGGCTGAATTTTACAAACTTTGAATACCAATGTTAGAAAAAGTATGTTTAGTCATAACTTATAATTGAGTTGATTTTAATTTTTAAGATATACTCCCTCCGTCGTAATTTAAATTGTCTGTTTCAGTTTACGATGTTTGACTCAAATTATTTTCAAATCATTTTATATGAAAAATGGTGTAGAATTAAAAATGACATCAAAAGATGTACAAAACTAGTATCTACATTATTTTATCAAATGATTAATGGAAATTTAAAAAAAAGTGAATGAGATTTGACCCAGTAAATAATATTCCCTCCGTCCCTTAAAAAACTTTACATTTTGACTCTTAAATGATTTAAAGGGAGTATATTTTGGTGTTGACTTTCCAAAAATGTTCTTTGATTTGATTGATAAAGTAGGATGGAATGTGTAAATTAATTAATAAAGATAAAGTGTAATGTGATAAGTATGTTAAGAATTAATAGAGGTAAAAATGATTTTTTAATAGGAAAAGAGAAGTGTTTTTTAGTACGGATGAAAAAGGAAAGGAGAAAGATTATGTGAGACAAAGGGAGTAAATAAGTAGAGTAGTTTTAATTAACTCCCTCCGTCCTAAATTAAGTTGCATGTAGGGTCAAACTTTAGTTATTATATTTCCTTATTTTTGTTACTCATTTGATAAAATGATATGGTCAAATGACCTCTTATTTTATAGATCTTTTGATGTAAGAGAGAAAGACCAACGTAGGACTAAAACATTGAAAATATATCAAAATAGAACTTTCATGTTTTTATTCCCGAAATAGGACTTACATTATTATACATGGTCATATACATTACCAAAAAAGTATAGTAATTTGCATATGTAGACTGTCACATTACAACAAGGCAAAGTTACATTATCACAGTGTAAAGTCCTATTTTGAGAAAAAAAACATGAAAGTCTTATTTTGGTACTTTTCTCTATGTTTTAGTCCTATTTAGGGTGATTTCTATTGATGTAATGTTTAAATATGTAAATTTTATTTTTAATTCCACCCCAATACTAAAATAAATTGTATTGAAAAAACTTTTCAAAAAAATCATATTGAAAATAATTTCAGACAATCATTGTGATTCAAAATAGACAAACTTGTACGGAGTATCAAATTTGTATAATACTCCCTCTGTCCACCATAGATCTTCCCAGTCACTATTCACAGGGTCAAACTTTACTCACTTTGTTTACTCAATTTTACTAGTCATTTCATAAAATAATATATTCTTGTCACCTCTAGTTTTGTAAAACTTTTCATGTAGTTTATTACTATATAAATTTTATTTTAAAATTTTACTCATATAATCAATTAAATTGAATTGAAAATAAAGTCAGTCAAGCTTCGTAACGCGTAATGAGAAGATCATACATGGACGGAGGGAGTACTTATTTATTTATTTAAGTGATCAAAGTGGAGTAACAGTTTGACCAAAAATTTAATCTGTGAAAAACTTTTTGGAACATAGAGAATTTATTTCAGTTTGAAAAACAAAAAAGAAAAGAAATTAGAGAGACTTCACTACAAGAAATAATGTAATTTGCCCCACTTATTCTGCCACACATAACTATAAGTATTTAGCTTTTCCATATTTATGAGCGTTGCCATAAAAAAAAACTAACCCAAATTAAATCATACATAACAAAAAATCTAAACCCAAAGAGCCAAACCCAACACATAAAATTCTACTCCGTATGTACTTAAAATTTAAGCGACTTGCCGCCCGGAAAAGTGCACAATTTGACGTACAAAATTGTTAACACAAGTGTTACAACATATTGTAATTAAGTTTCCAATTCTCATCACTTAATTCAAACACCATTATTACCAGCTGAATTCAAATGACACAAAATTTACGTAGAGACGATAAAAAAATACAAATTCATATGGACACAAGTTTTACGTACCAATTACTCTCTCGATCAACTTGATCGAACTCGATGGGTTTGTCGACGATCCGGTTTTTCCCCCTTCCGGTTCGGTAACGGGAGTAGCCAATCCAAAGTTGGTTGTGAAAGAAGCGAAAGAGCAGGAAGGGGAAAATCATGAAATTTGTATAGTCCCTTTCCCTCTCGTCGCGTGTCACAAAAGAATAGAGACTATGTGCCACCCATGGAGCCAAAACCACATACTTTTTATATATTTACAAACAAAAACCACACAAAAAAAGAAATTAAGTACAAAATGAAATATATTATGAAATGACAAGAAAATGTTGAATGATATTTAGAAACAAATAAGAATAAAGTGGACTACTATACATACCTTAAAAGATCCAAGGGGTGTCCAAGGCCAATTAGTTAGGAAGCCTGGCGTGGTTGCCATTATATTAATTTCCTTTTGTTTCTTTTCTTTTCTTTTTGTGACTATATAGAAAGAAATGCATGGGAATGGTGTCTTATTTATAGGACGTACCTTAGAGTTGGGTTACGTCAGTATGTGAATTATATTCTTAAACTCGTGGAAATTAAGAAATGTTTGGCCGGTTTGACAAAACCGAGCCATATTAATTGTTGGGAGACAATTGTGTAGATGCAAGGTGAACATGTTTTGACCTTATAAAGGCATGTGGTATGGGGCGTGATTCGGACTTCATCACCGAGCGTTACTGTTATAGAATATTAACATCTTTCCTGAGACACAATCACAGGTTTGAACTTTTAATTTGGTTGAATCGGTTCCTTGTCATGGTATCCGAGTCTTGTTGACTAAGAGATTACGATTTCGAAACTCAGCGCTAGACAGTTTTTAAAAAAATTAAGGTTTCACGTACAAGGCTCAAAAAGACTCTTCTACTCGTATTTAGGATTTTATCCAGACTAGGCAGCGCTAGGAATTTAAGATGAAGGATTTGGGTCCTCTAAATTGTTTTCTGGGCCTTGAGGTTGATCGTACGGTTGATCGATTACTTCTTCATAAGATTAAGTATGCTGGAGAACTCATTCATCATACTGGAGTTGACACTTGTACCCCAGCACCGACTCTGATGAGCCCTAGCTCATCTACCAACGGCTGCGATACCATGTCAAGGAACCAATTCAACCAAAAATTTCAAGCTTAGCAAAATGAGCTAACCGTGTATGGTTTAAGTTGAGTTGGTTTTACAAGATTGAGATGCTAGACTGGTTTGTCTAAGTGAGAACTAGGTCAGACTAGTTGCCACTTAATGGAAAGTGTTGGAGTTTCCACATCAGAAAATAAAGAAGAATACCACTAGCCTATATAGAGGGATGAAATTCTACCTGTTAGCTTAAGCTTTTGGGTTAGGAAGTGGATCATAACTATATATGCAAGTGGTTAATTTTATCCGACATTCTGACCGTTATTATAGACAAGCCAGAATCTTAATAGGTGGCACATTCCTACACGCGAGTAAATCCAACGTTAAACAAATGTGTCGGGCGCACAAGGAATTAATTCCCAAGTAGTGAACATTTTGAAAAAGGATTCCCAATCAGTGCAATACACCAAAGTCAGTTGAACAGTACACGAAAATCAGATGAACAGTAGTACTCTTTGTACCCGATGAACAGTACCCCATTGTACCTAAAATGGCATTTTTCACCCAATTTAGCATTTTTTCACCCGGGAGTATGTATTTTATTTTGTTAAATTTGTTTAAAACTTTGGAACTCAATTTTGAAATTCAACGTATATTATATTCAATTTCTTTAAATTTTTTGTTCTATTATTTAATATAAGCTTTTAGCCAAAAATTTAATTTATTATGTTCATTATATCTAATTATTTGAGTTCAAAGAGGCAAAAAAATCAAACTATGATGATTTTTTTTTGAGAAAATTACTAAAATAAAATCAAAACAAAGTTGAGTTGTTTCTTAAATTTCTATGTATGTAATTTATTTAGACTTTTTAAATTTAAATGTTGTAGAGTTTTAAATTTTTAAATGTAACTTCTAAATTTACTTTTGCACCTTACTCATCTAACTTTTCTCAACTATTACACCTAACTTAACTCAAACCACCTAACACAAATACAAATCACACAAATCTTTTTCACATTTCAAAGAAATGGACTCTTGTGCTAGCTTTATCCTTCTAGCCCATTGGAATGACGAGTTCAAAAAATTGACTTTTTGTAACAAGGTAAATGTGACAGACTCTAGAATTTGCCACAAATACTCCGTTAAAAAAAGTATTTGTGGCAAAATTTGATGTAAGAAATGTATTTCTGGCCAAATTAGATCCCACAAAAAGTCAATTTTTTGTAGTGATAATTTTAATCTACACTAATTAAAAAATACATAATATAAAAAAAAATTAAAATTTTTTAAAAAAATGGTAAGTTTTTGTTAATTAATAGAGTCAAATTAAAGGGTAGATGGTGTTGCTTTTCAACATGTCAATCCGGCCCTAACTCCCAATATGTCAGTACTCAGTAGGAGTTTCACTAATTGGGAATGTATTTTCAAATTTTACCCTGATTGGGAAATCCCCCGGAAAAATGCTAGGGGTACACCTTTGGTGTACCCCATATGTCCCCCACCCCCTCCTTATCTACTAAAAAAGGAAAAATAATTTTAAAAAAATAAATAAATATAAAAAATCAAATAAAAATATGTGGTGGAGAATGGGGTGGTGTACATTTGGGGTACACCAAAGGTGTACCCCTAGCATTGCTCAATCCCCCGCGCACAAGAGGGTATGTAGTTACCTATTAGCTCAGCCCCATCCTTCCGGGAACACACGGATTTCATTTATTTATTCCCTTAATTTGCGTAAAATAATGCCACAATTTGTGGTGCCATTAATTAATTAGACGGCACAAACTCTGACTTTTGCTAACTTGAGGACACTCTCATCCCCAATTAATTATCACTCTCAAAATATACCGTTAGCATTTCCCCAATTACACTCTGACTTTTGCTAACTTTGACTTTTGCCTCTTATGAAACAACGTTAGAGATTACCGTTAGCATTTCAAATTTGCTATCTACGTATGGACAGCGTTTAGCGTTAGCGTTTTCAAAATCACCTGCACCGTTAAAATTTTAACTAAAATGCTAATAGTAATCTTTAACGTTATTTTCAAACAGGTCTTAAAAGTTGAATAGATATAAACATTTTCGATGTTTATATTCGTTTAACTTTTGATATAATTTAAGCACTTGTTTGGTGAGCAAAACCGCTACGAACTTTGATATCGCTGATGTGTTTGGTGAACAAAAAAAGTTTTCAGCTTTCAAATTTGAAGATATGAAAACTATCCCTAGTTGGAGCTTTTTGATATCTCCACAAATCTACCGCTTTCATTTATCATATTTCCAATACTAACAAAACGTACTCTAAAAGTCATAATGATCAGTTAATTATAAATTAAGGGGAACATATAAATCAAAAGTCATATTGATAAGTTAATTATGAATTAAAGGATAATGGAGTACTTCTTTTGCGGTGTATTTAGTATTTACTCAATCCATATTTAAGGTGTGGGTTTTGAAATTTGAAATAAAAATATTTGGGATATTTAAAATGATAGGGAGTAGTGGTTAGTGATAGGTGTGTTGGATTTTCAGTGGCCTGAGTGAATCGAGAAGTACATCAAGTGAAATTAATCGTTTTTTCATATTAAGTTTGCATCCGCTTTTTACTTCAAAAGTTTAAACTAACAGGTAGAGTCTCATTTCATCGTTCTTTATATGAGACTGGTTGTGACATATAAAGATCAATTTCGGAATCTATTTATGCTCCACTAAATATCAAAAAGCAGAGTTCTCATGTTTGAAGAAATCTTAACTTTTACAAAGTACATATATAATTTTTGTAATAGAACAAAAATTGATTATAAATATGATTGCATCAAATTTTAATGAATGGCGATCCATAAAATTAAAATTAAGGAGTATGGTCAACTAATAATAACTTTTGGACGGGTAAGCTAAGGTATATAGTAACCTTTTGAATACAAAAACTATATACTCCCTCTGTCCTAAAACTTTCTCTCATTTCCCATTTTTCTCCGTCCTAAAACTACCTTCTCATTAGAATAAAAAAGATGACAAATGACATTAATACCCTCATGTATTTACACCAATTATCTTCTAACTCTATATTTTGAATGATTGCAAAAAAAATTCAAAAAATCTTTTTTAAGGAGGGTAAAATTTGAAGTCAAAGCCAAAAATTAAAAATGAGGAAAAGTCAAACTGGAAAGAAAGAATTAGGACGGAGTGAGTAATAAATTCTCCCTTTCACAATAAGGAGTACTCCGTAATTGGTACGAGGGTAGGTCCTAAGAATGCAAAAGTCTTGGATGAGGAAGAAAAATATCTTTGATTCTAATTAATTACTCCTTTAGTTGCACAAACGAAAAAAAAAATTTCAAGTTTTGTCAATCTATTTTATTTAAATATTGATATAGAATAAACAAATTAAACTTACATATTAAAAGCTATATCAAAAATTCAACAAAACAAGTGGTAACAAATAACCTTCAACCGTCCATTCAACTTGAATTTGTATAATTTTAAGAAATCATCATATATAAGAGTAAAACATAGAGAAAATATCAAAATAGAAAAATTAATATTTCTATCCCCAAAATAGGAGTTTGCACTGTGATAATGTGGCAGTAAGCATGACCATTTCACAATATATACTTAGCTAACGTGCACAATTTTACTTTAATTATTTTAACAAACGATTAACAGAAATAAGTAATGATAAAAGGTGTGCTCCATGCACTAAATTAGTTTGCTACCATTGGCAAAACATGAATTGAAAAGGATGAACCCGATCTCCGAGAACTCGTTTAGACCCAGCCGGACGTAACAAAACATGAACTAAAATGGGATGGGTGGAGGAGACATGGAGGAGTAATTAAGTAGGAGACTGTAGACGTACTAGATTGGAGTGCAGCTTAAAATGAGCCAAACATCCATCAACTTCACCTTTCACTTTGGGCTGTTTATATATGCTAGGACCACAATAATGTTTAGTTTTGGTTCCCACCTTGTAGAGAACACTAGCAAAGTAGCAATCATATTGGTGATGTGGTGTCACTTTATAATTAGTTGTGTGTGATATATATATATATATATATATATATATATTCCCTCCGTTTGCAAAAAGACTTCCTATTTTGACTTGGAGCAAAAATAAGGAAGTGTTAAATTATAGTTGACTTCCAATTTTGCCCCTGATGTGATGGGTAAAGTAAGATGTGATGGATAGATTATTAGAGAAAAAGTATGATGTGATAGGTAGTGTATGAAAAAGTAAGGGTAAAAGTGGTTTTTTAATAGAAAGTGGAAGTGTTTTGTTGGAAGTAAAAAAATAAAAGAAGAAGTGTTTTTAAGAACGTAGGGAGTGTATATATATATATATATATATATATATATATATATATATATATATATATATAGTCTAAAAGTTGTTGTTCCTATAGTATATAGTATTGTTCTTAAGAACATTAGCGAAAGACAACAAGTCTAAGAGCAATGGAAATGGTCTTGAAGCCCCGGAGCTTCATATATACGAGAGCTTCAAATTTTCTCTCTCTATCACGTCAGCTTTAACTTACCTCACCAATTCACTGAAAATGGTTTGAAGCCCCGGGGCTTCAAACTGAGGCTTCAAACATTCATTTTTTACATTTTAAATACACATTTTCTAAAATTAATAAAATTTAATTATTTCATTTTATTCATTAAAAAATTACATTCATGTACAACAAATACATTCATTAATTTAAAAAAAATTACATTCGTTCATTTAAAAAAAATTACATTCATTCATTTAAAAAAATTACATTCATTAATTAAAAAAATTACATTCATTAAATAAAAAATTACATTCATTAATAAAAAAAATTATCTTCATTGAATAAAAAAAAGTACACGGTGCCATAATGGGAAAGGGGGGCGGGGGGAGGGCCCCAACGGCCAAATTTTGGCCTACAATTTGTGTCAAAAGGTTGATGCTGCAAAAATAATGGTGCTATAACATGAAAGGAAGGCGGTGTTTAACACCCCCATGTTTGGTAATGTAAGTCCTATTTCAAGAATAAAAACATGAAAATTCTATTTTGGTATATTTTCAATGTTTTAGTTCTACTTTGGTCTTTCTCCCGCATATATATGCCCACCCATTCAAAGTGTCATGAATTTATTTGAAATAGAACAACCTATATTTGTCTTTCTTCATAACATTATCCCACTAAATTACGTTTAAAGGTCATNTTAAAGGCCAAACAAAGCATGTGTGATGTGTATATATAAAAGTGCAATAATAATTATATATAGGTTCATGCACTACCCGTACGTACCCATTTAAAACTCTGATTAAATTAAACTTATTCTACCGCGTATCTACTCCTTCCTTTCGGAAATATTCTTTTTACTTTCCTTTTTGGCATGTCCGGAAATATTCTTTCATTTCCTTTTTTAGTATACTTTTTAAGGATAAATTTCAATAATACCCTTCTATTTTATCACTTATCTACTTTTTTTATTGTTTTTTTAATAAGAAAATGAAATTTAAAAGTTTATAGTATGTGCATTTTTGGAAATTTGGTATTTTTTTATGATTCCTTAATAAGCGTGCCAATTCAACACGGGAAGAATATTTCCAGACGGAGGGAGTATTTTAATTGAAATGTCGTTGGAGAAAATCGCAAATTGAAATGGAACAAATGTTGGGGATAAACAAAGATAACACGGATTGATTTCAAAGTCGTGTAGCATTTTCAAATTGATTATTTTGATTGTTCAATCCAAAAATCAATCGGATAAAACTCAAAATTTTCACGAACAAGTATAAATTGATCTGGATTTTCGAACTTCACTTTTTCGACCAAGGAACAGCGGGATTTATAGAGCCGCCGCGGAAGGGAAGAAGGCTGCAGTCATGTCTGTCGTCCAAAACGCGCTTCCCTTTGCGCGAAATTGAGAAAATGGTGCTATCCCTTTCGAAAATTGTCCTTTAAGAAAATTAGAAAATTAAAAATTCAAATGAATTTTTAACAAAGCACTTTGTCCAAATTAAAAAGCTTCCCCAGCCACGGGCTCTGCCCCTCAGAACCCGCAGGGGTTGCTCCCCCTTGAACCCTGCTCGGGGGCACTGCCCCAGAACCCCCGCCAAATGGGGTGCTGCCCTCTTAGAACCTCTGTTAAAGCAGAATTTTTATCATAACAAACTCAACGAAGCGTGCACTTCGCACCACTAAACTTCTTTGATGATTACTATGATACCATTGGTCCAATAGTTTTTCCAATTACACTAAAATATACTCCCTCCGTCCCATGAAACATGGACTTTTGCTTTGTAGGAGGGATTTAAGGGGAGTGTATTTTAGTATTGAATTTCCAAAAATGTCCTTTGATGTGTTTGGTAAAAGTATGATTTGATGGATAGATTATTAGTAAAAAGGTATGATATGATAGGTAGGGTATGAAAAAGTAAGGGGTAAAAATGACTTTTTAATAGAAATGAGAAGTATTTTGTGGGACGGATAAAAAAAGAAAGGGGAAATGTTTCATGGGACGGGGGAGTATAACAACAAAAATATCAATCAACGAAACTATGATTAATGGCAAATTTGATTTGCCAAAATAAAATTGATTGGAAAGCGAACTGGACAAACCAGTTTGCTGATTCTTAGAATCGATTACTCGATTTTTTATTTAATTTTCATTGATAATCTTGTGTGAATTGTATCAGAATATGAAAAATCTTGGAATGTTTTAGGGCTTCAAAGAAGAAGAGGATGAAAAAAAGATGAAAAAACATAGCATTTTCGAGCTCCCAATAAAAAGAGAGAAGTTTTGATATTAAATTATTCCTTGATAATTAATCTAAGGGGCACATCTTTGTTTATAGAATATAAAAAAATCTTGACTCAAATAAAAGTATAATGTACACATAATACATTTTGAACTAAATAAACTTAATATTTAATGAAACAATATAAAAAAGTTATTATATTTAAAATATATTAGTATATACATTCGGTTCGAGATTTTTTGTATGTGAAGTTACCTCATACCGTTACCAAATACAGAACCAAACATTAAGTTTGGTACGATACAATATTTTAGCGGTATTCAATTCGGAATTCTCAAGAATTTTCGATATCGGTTCGGTACTTGCTCACTCATATCTAAAAGTGCATTAATGACACGCTCATCATGTTAGAACTTGACGAAGATGCCATGGAATGATAAAGATCTTGATAAGGTGATTTCCGAGCTTTGAGTTTGGTTAGAATAAGCTAAAGAAAGAATAATTATCTAGTGTTTCGGAGGTTAAAAATATACAGAGTAGAATACAATATTTGGAAATGACATATTGCAAAACCCATATGTGAAATATTGGTTTAGATGAATCTATACCTACACTGGACGAGCCTGTGATTAACGCACTCTTAAAGACCGGCGGTGGTGCACAATTGAAAGAGCTAGATTTTTTAAGGGAGAGACCTTACCTTAGGTACCATGACAAAACTGTGTAATAATTGATCTTATTAAATAATGAATGTTACATCAATATATATATATAAAGAATACATGTAGAATCCTAAGTAAAGTAGAATAAGAAATTATGATAACAGTTGAATAAAGAAAGTAAATAATAATGTTAGACAATAATAATTATAGTACTCCCTTTATTCCACAAAACTCTTCCTCTTTCGTTTTTTTTGCTTTCCACAAAACACTTCCACTTTCTATTAAAAAATCACTTTTACCCCTACTTTTTTCATACCCTACCTATCATATCATACTTTTTCACTAATAACCAAACTATCACATCTTACTTTTTCCCATCACATCAGGGGCAAAATTAGAAAGTCAACCAAAATTACACTTTCCTTATTTTTGCCCAAAGTCAAAACCGAAAGGGTTTTGTGGAACGGAGGAAGTATTACTTATGGTAGCATTAGTTATGACAATGTTTACTATATAGTCAACTTCTATTATTAGGTTAATTTCTACTTGTATTAGGATTGCTTTCCATATATGCTCTATTATATCCTCCATCATTCTTGAGTAAATTCTATTACTCCCTTCATCCCTAAAAGCATGAAGGTTTTGTTTTTTAAAAAAATTTAAGGGGAGTGTATTTTGGTGTTGGGTTTCAAAAATGTTCTTGGATGTGATGGGTAAAGTATGATTTGATATGTAGATTAATAGTGAATAGATGTGATGTGATAGGTATGTTAAGAATTAGTAGGGGTAAAAGTGACTTTTCAATAGAAATGAGAAAAGTTTTTTGGGATGGATGAAAAGAGAAAGGGGAAAGATTTTCAGGGACGGAGGGAGTATTTTAACATTCCAACGAAATAATTTTTACAAAATTCTTTTGCTCTAATTTTTTGCAACGCCATAAAACACTTCTATCCCACATTCCCACCTGAAATGCCTAAAAGCATTGTGAAGTTTATTGCAAGTAGAAATTACTTTAGAGGTATTTTAGATATTTTAGGTGGAGTAGAAGTAGTTTATGGCGTCCACGATAAATTAGGGCAGACGAATTTAGTGAAACCGAAAGCACATTTTTATTTGTTATCATCCATATTATTTCTAATGTGAAAAAGAAAAATGAATATAACGGCAAAAGAGGGAATAGTAATACACATCAATATTTGAGTTCATTTAGAGGACAAGAAAAATACATGACACAAACCAAATCAAAGGCATATATATCTACTACTATTACTATATCCATTTTGCCACCCATTGTCGTCCTAACAGTACTCGGGCAATTCCAAAAATGAAAATTTATCATTTGACTGTAAATCTTCATTTTTCGAATGCTTGTACATACCCTTAGAACAACGGGTAACAAAACGATTATTTTACACATAGCTAGATCGTATTGAAATATATAAAATCAATTAAACGGATAGACGTGAAAACATTTTCGATGGAATGATGGTGTTAATTATCAAGACGACTTGATGGTTTCTGAAGCGACAGAAGAAGAGCCGGTGAAGGGGCGAAAGCCATGGTCTAGACTGGCTTTCCATATCTTGGCAATGTCGAACATGTTGTTTCCACACTCGTTCACCTCCCAACCTTCTAAAGCATGTACTATTCCTGCAACTCTCCATGCACTCATCACTCTTCTTGGCAACCAATTCTGTCCATGACACACAAAAAAAACAATAGAGATTACGTTCTAGCGGTTATTTTGACACTGGTTTTCGGAGTCATACTATGTCATTCGCCGGTTCTTACCTCATCTAACTCCTACCCCTGGTTTGGAAAATTATCAAAGTACTATTCTTTAATTTTATTGCATGTAGCATTTCGGCATTTTCCGGGGGAGGGTGTGTTAGATGGGCTAAAAATTAAACCAATTCAGCCCTAGCAGAGAGCACATTAATAAAGTCCTCAAGTGTTCCGGTGTCATCATAATATGACACTCGTGCTCGGTGTCTAAAGATGCACTTCCTTCGTCCCAAAAAGTATGGGACGGTTTGACTTTTTGGGAAATTAAGAGAGGGATATTCTAGTATTGACTTTTCAAAAATACCCTTGATGTGATGGGTAAAAGTAGGATGTGATGGGTAGATTATTAGAAAAAAGGTATGATGTGATAGGTAGGGTATGAAAAAGTAAGGGGTAAAAGTGGTTTTTTAATAGAAATGTAACGGACTTTATGGGACGCAGTTTTTTCTAAACGTAACAATCTTTTTGGGACGGAGGGAGTATTTGCTCAAATTACATTACATATCTATATTATTAATGATATGATAAACGAAAAAGGTTATGTTATAAACGCATGAAATATTTAATATTTGCAATAGTTACTATACCTCGCAAGAGTCGACATTCTCGAGGTGCTTAGGGGCAAGCATGGCAGGCGTGCTGAGGTAGAGACAATCTTTGCGCGCTTTCTTTGGAGGGAATTGAGAGAAGGGAATGAAGAACGTTCCTTTTGGCGCTTTCGATTGCTCGTCTTCTCTCAATCCATCCCCGACGAGCCATGTCTGCATGAATACGCATGACACGATTAGATAGAAATCATCACACATCCGTCACATATCTAAAAGTTAATCATTCATTCTCCGTGTTCGAATTTAAATTGTCGATCTACGCTCTTATATATTCTCGTTTACCAAACATTGGATGTCCATCTTCCGTGTTAAATAAAGAAATTAGATGTTATGAAATGCTTGAAATTAAACATTCTTATGAAACGATATGAGCATTGTTGATATGAATGGCAGACAAACTCGTCTTAACAAGTGATTAACGTTAATTGTCTTACCTTTGCAGAGTAAGATTTTGTAAGGACTAGATTATTAGCTGCCTCAGGGTTTAGCCTACCCTTAAGCCTCTTAAACTCATCTTCACGCAATAGAGCAACCTAATTAAATACAACAGATAAAGGATTAATTAACAAATTTTAATTAGAACATGACGAAATGGATGAACGGACGTTAAGTTAGATAACGGAACCTGGATTCCACGTTGGCATAAGGCGACGGCGATAGAAGCGGCAACCTTGGTCAAGTTCCCTCTAAGGACGACTTGTGTGGTCCCGTTAGGAACGGCGTTAAGGACCACCGCAACGGCGAGGCTACTTCCGTCCACCACCTTCACTTTCAGCTTTGGGTTCTTCCTAATGAAAAGCTCTCCGTTCCTATTCAACTCCTCCTCCTGCATGCCACGGAATTAATGACTGATTATAACTGGTCAACAAAATGCATGGTTTTAGATTCATCAAAGATTCTACGTGCGTTCCGTCCAAGTGTATTTGTGCAGTTTGAGTGTTTCAACTTTTTCAATTAAAACAAGATAAATTTTGAGATTCAATTAAACAAAAATTGAAATGTACAAAAACTGAAACTTGGATTATTAGTTAAAAAGTATGATGTGATAGGTAGGGTATGAAAGAGTATGAGTAAAAATGGTTTTTTTAATAGAAAGTTAAAGTATTTTAGGAAAATTAAAAATGAAGAAACGAAGAGTTTATTGAAAGAGAGGGAGTATATATATATATATATATATATATATATATATATATATATATATATATATATATATATATATATATATATATATATATATATATATATATATATATATATAGTTCAAATTAATTCATTATAGGCTTAATTAATAGCTTGCCTGATTCAATAGGCCAAGGGTTAGGACTTTGATCCCTTTCTCGTCGGCATCTAAAATGGCGTCCTCAATCAACTTGTTTATGCTCTCTCTTTGCCATTGCATGAAGTACTGCAAAATTATATACACTTTTTATTAAATATATTACATGGGTAAATAATTAATTAATGCAAAATTTTGAGAACTAGACAACAATTAACGATGTCGAAAAATTTCTTAATCTTCTTTATTCAATAATTAAGTGACGATAAATTTCAAACTCGTGACATCACAAGTACAAATTTAAGTATAAATTGAGGCAGATGAGAGGAAGTAGGGCTCACTTGGACACGATACTTAGGGATAGCCCAAGTTTGCAACTTGAGATGCTTGAAAACATTTCTCTCAACGACAAAGGTGCGGCCATAGATCCAAGTGACCATTGTGGACCAAACGGTGATGGGCCACATGAACCAGAAGTACCACTTGGAGGACTGGGGGTTGGACGCCAGAGACGGAATGCCTAACCGGAGATGGTATATGGACTCCGGGGTGATGAGGTGGGTCAAGTGCACCACGTCGGGGGTCTCCCCGGGCCTCCTCAACGACTTCTCGTGCAACGTGTCCGAAGACGTGTCTACGGTGTTGTAGAGGTAGTCGTACACTGGCATGAACAGGGAGTAGTTTGTTCTGAACTGTGTGTGGTGCAAAGAGTGGAACCTGCAAAACAATTTTCCCCAAAGTCAATGAAACTTAAAAAAAAGATGAAATTGAAAGCGTTGGGAGTGGATTCCGATCAGGCTAGGGGTAGGAACCACCATTTTGTGAACGGAACACTGTGGGTACCCTATTTGGAGCCAGTGCCATTTACTTTTTAATGTAACAAAAAGTAGTGACGCTCGGATAAAAAGAAATTGATGAGTTAGGATAGAGAACGACTTACGAGGGGGTGTACATCATGTACTTGAGAGGGGGGAAGACGGAGAAGACCCAAGTGGGGACGAGTTCGAAGTTGCAATGCCCCAAGTTGTTCATGAAATCGATGTATAGAACGTAGAACACGAATGTGGTGGTCGATCCGGTTCCGGTTCCTATTATGGTTAGGAGGGGGATGGCGAAGAGGATGAAGTATGCTATGTGCTCCGCAAATGGATGGATCACAGCTGCATATACATATCATAAAAATAATCGGAGTTTAAGATTAAAAAAAATTGTCTTTAATTAACACACAATTCACATTCGGGCAAGATTTGTTTATTTGAATTTTAAATTGATGGCATTGATAATTGAAAATCTCACTTTAGGTTTTTTAAAAAAATTGATATCGTGATAAGACGAATTCTATCAAAAATTCGAACTTGTTGGAACCCAAGAGAATATCGGATCGTTATTCTAGTTTTTGATTTTTTTGTAGTAAATCAAGATTAATTTTTGACCTATAATAATTAATTGAAAAATACATGATATACTCCGTATAAATTAGATAAATTAACATTTTAAAAATATTTTATTTAATGATCAAGCCTTACATATCTATTTTGTTTAACTAATGGTCAATTTTTTTACTTTAATTACAAAGAAAAAAAGGCAAAATTCGACAAACAATACCCCAATGTTGAGGTAAGTAGTATGGAAAAATTTGGTGTACCCTAAAACTTGTACTCCAACTTAAGCAATCCTGTATTACTGATACGCACAGATAATAATTATTGTTTGCGCATGTAAACTTAGTGATTATTGAAATGCATCTGTGATACACTCGTGTGCAAGCTATGATACAAAATTTGAGATACTCCTAACTGCTCCCTCCGTCCAACAATAATGTTTCCGTTCATTATTTACAATGTCAAATTTTATTCACTTTGTTTGTGTATTTTTGTTGCTCATTGAATGAAATACCATAGTCATGTCACTACTAATTTGTACATATTTTCGAATAAAATTTAAATATATAATTTTTATTTTTAAATTTTATATGATTTTTGTGTAAAATAATTTTAAAACAACTACAATCAAATATCATAACGCGCAACGAAAAAATTATTGTTGGAGGGAGAGGTACCTAGGAATGAAAATATACTCCCTCCGTCCTAAAACTAACTTCTCATTTGATTTTTCACGATCTCCAATGTGACACTTTGACCATCAATATCTCAATTTTTATATAAATATATTTTATAAAAATTATATATTTCAAAACTATGTTACAAAATCAATTTATTGCTAATAAATTTATATAAAAATTCAATATATATTTTTCATAATATACTGTGAAAGTTTGACTACAAAAGTAATTTAATTTTAGTTCTGAGTTACTAGTATTTATTTCCCAGCTGCCATGCATGCAGGGAGGACGCTCAGTGGGGCCCCTTGCGAAGGGAAACCTAGGAGGCTAGCTGCCACAGCGTATTAACTAGGTGCACAAAATTAAACTTTGCAGACTCGTCCCAAGTTCCCAACTACCTTTGGGCGAACATTTAATGTACCATGCCACACTTACACACAAAATTCTATATCATTTATACACCGCAGTTATACACAAACATTTTGATGGTTTATACCGACACGAGTGTTAGTTGGTACGTTAACAAAAATTTACACGGACACAAAGTGTTGACACGTTAACAAAAATTAATTTTACACCAACACAAAATTGGTGCAAAGCAGCGGTGTACAAATAGGGTACAAAAGGTTGGAGTACAAGTAGCTTTATCCACATTTAATTATCAACCATGGAACACTTGCATCAAACAATTTATTTCAAAGTTATATAAAAAATACAGAGTATAACATTTTGATGTTTCACACTGGTATAAAATATTAGTTTGATTAAAAAAAATTTGCACTAGTATTTTTTGTATGTATAAACCATCACCTTATCATTACACTGACACAAAATGAAGATGTACAAATGTGGGCTATAATATAGGGTACAAATTTTGGTGTATAAATAGTTTAATCCTTGAATTATTCCTCATCTTTCAAAATTCATTACACTCTTTGATCTACGTACAAAATTTAGTGACTTTTAAAACAATTTTATATATAAGTTACTATAGAAAGAGAAAATAAAATTGTGTATTTAAAAACTAAAAAAATTAAATAATAACAGATGACAATAATATTTAATTTTGTAAAATAATCAATAAAAATAATCAAATAAAATAAAGTAATCGAGAACTCATAATAATAAAGGGGTAAATAATTTTGGAACGGGAAAAGTATTAGACTGCCACCTGTTATGGATAGTAGAGTAGGTTATTTATTATTATTATTATTATTATTATTATTATTATTATTATTATTATTATTATTATTATTATTATTATTATTATTATTATTATTATTATTATTTAGGTTTTATTAGGTTAGCAGATTTATAAGCTTCTTCGAGGTTTCTTTACGGTTCTTTCCCTCGTCGATTTTATTGAACCGTCAGGTTAGGTTTATGAATAGCTAGGGTTTCCTTGTCTCCTATAAATAGAGATGTAACCTGATTTAGAATATTCAATAAATAAACAAATCAAAACCCTAATCCCTTCTCCTCCATCGGTTCGCCGATTCTCTTCGTCTCAATTCTTCTTCTTCTTCCTCGTCCCATACTCTCAAGAGTTTGAAGACGCTCTAAGGGGCTGTTTGTTTCAGCCTATTAATGGTTCAAATGTTTGAATGGTTCAGCACTTAATGGTTCAGATGTCTGAATGGTTAAAAGATTTGCCTCCGAATGGTTAAGTATTATACAAAGTCTGAATGGTTAAGACTTCTTATCTGAATTGATCAGACATTTGCCTCTGAATAGTTAAGCAATATACTAGTTCTTAATGATTCAGACCTCTTACTGGTTCAGTACTTAATGGTTCAGACCTCTTACTGGTTCAACACTTACCTATTCAGAAGTTGCCAAACAGCCCCTAAGTCTTCTCTATCCGATACGAGTTCGTATCATTATCCATAACACCACTGTAAACTTATTTCCTTATTAATCATAGACTTATATTCCTAATATATTTGTGTTCAATCCAAAAAAAATAGAGCACAAATATAAAGAATATAAGTGGGTGATGAAGGTTCACTACTTAAAGCATGAAGAAATATAATGTATATGTAATGGGCTCACATGTAATGGGCTCGGTGACGATGGAGGAGTGGTGGTGGGAGTGGTAGCGGGAGTAGAGATAGTGGTGGTGCAGCGCCCGGTGCAGCCAGTAGTAGAGGAACTCCACCGGGCCGGCATGAAGCAAAGTTACAAGTATGATCCCTTCTGTCTTCCATATTGGCATGTGTTTTGCCAATGGTAAAGCATAGTAACCCACATAGTATAATAGACCATTTAGTATGATCTGATCATCCCTGCATGTGTTTTTTTATATATAGTTAGGCAAACTAGGACACGAAAGCGAAGAGAGACGGTTAAAAAGGACAAATGTAACATGTATTACCAATTTCTTTCGCGATCGACTTGTTCGAATTCGATGCTTTTGTCGATGATTCGGTTGTCACCTTTGGCGGTTCGATGGCGGGAGAGAGAAATCCATAGCATGTTGTGGAGAATTCTTAGGAGCAAGAAGGGGAAAATCAGCAAGACATTTATGTCCCTCTCACTTGGGTCTTGCTTGAAGAAAGTGTATGTGTTATAAGCCACAAAGGGAGCCAATACCACATACTACATACATGCATTATTGTTCAACACAAAACACGTGTGTCATTAATCTCAATCATCATATGTAACCAAAACAAAACTTACAATTATTTTGAAACGAAGAGAATAGTTGAAATCCATACAAATGATGCAATCATATACTCTAAGGCCATGTTTGGTAGCACAAAAATTATGTGAATTTGGAATTGATAGTGCAAAATATGAATTGAAATTGGTGAATTCAATTCTATGGAATTGAATCTCATAAAATTTCAATTTCAATTCATTTTCAATTTCATATACCAAACGGACCCTAAAAGAATTATATAAATCATAAAAGTAAGTTGTCTTTGTGTTTAACTATGCAAAAGGTCTATCATGTATATATCGGTCTAGTTCAGCTTTAATTTGAAAAATGATAGAGCTTTTATTTAAAATGTTAACACTAATCAAAGACGTCTTACGAAACAAAGTCATAGTCACCATGAACTCAGTGATGTAACATTAGTCTACTAATACACATTATTTATTTCGTTCAATTATTAGTTCCCATATATTTTGAGTAAAACATTACACGTGACAAGACAATAGCATAGTCACACTCAACTCTCCAAGTCTTCTCTCCAATATTACAGTGAGTGTGACATCAAAATTATGAAATTTTTCATTTATTTATATATTTTCATCGATTATTTGATAAAATAAAATATTCCTTTTAGTTTTTATTTTGAAGAACATTTGAGATAATTTTTAAATATGTAAATTTTAAATTTTGCTATATCAATAATCTTAAAATAAAAAAAGTTAAAATTTTGCTTCCTTTTGAACTAACCACATCATCTATCTTTCATTTCGGTGTCATGTTTCATAAAACCTCATCTCAAATTAAATTAAATTTCTAAGTTTGACTTTTACAAAATTTAAGTAAATAAAATACTCGTATTCAAATTGACTGGTTTCAGAATTGGTTTCATTTTTTTGTGTAACTTTAGACGATCGGCTTCTTTATTTATAAACATATACGGAGTAAATGGTTTTTTTAATTCTTTTTTCTTATTATCAAATAACTAGATTGAATCGAAAATAATTTGATTTAAAATTTGTAAATTGAAACAACAAAATGCTTTACACAAAGACCCTTTGATTTGCTGGATTCAAGTTTTGTTGCTTTCAAGGAAGAAAAAAAAAGTAATCCAAAGTCCAAACATGGGGAGTGGATGATTAGACATGTCTTGTCCACCAAACACACTATAATCTTCACACGTATGAGATGAGCATTAATTGTTTATGTCGAAGGTGTTTGTGATCCCAAACAAAACTATGATGCATGGAATTGAAACCCATACGCAAATATGACGCAATTGACCTTTTTTACTCTCTAAAATACTTCCGCTCTGTTTGAGAATAACTCTAGCGATTAGCGCTAGCGTTTTGAAAAGGCTATCATCCATTCTACGGACAGCGTTTTCAAAGTAATCTGCACCGTTAAAATTTTATCCAAAATGCTAACGCTAATTTCTAACGATATTCCCAAACAGACCCTTCATCTGTTCTAAATTAATCGTCCCAACTAATTTGATTTTATCAAATTAATAAAAAATGTTGAAAAATTAAAAGTGGTAGTTGAAATTTGTTATGAAAAAAAATTGTGAACTAAATACTCCCTCCGTTTCTTACAACGGTTCTTGTTTTTACTTTGGAGCAAAATAAGGAAAGTGCAATTTTAGTTGACTTTTCAATTTTGCCCTTGATGTGATGGGTAAAAGTAAGATGCGATAGTTTAGTTATTAGTGAAAAAGTATAATGTGATAAGTATGGTATGAAAAAGTATGAGTAAAAGTGGTTTTTTAATAGAAAATGAAAGTATTTTAAGGAAAAAAAAATGAAAGATGAAGAGTTTTAAGAAACGGATGGAATATTTTTAAATTTATTAAATAAAAAAAGTATACAATTGTTTTCGAATCAGACTAAGAAAAAGTAGAACGACTAATTTAGGACGGAGGGTAATACTTTGTATGTCCTTAATTAATTCATACATTTTTAATACTTTTCTAATAACAAAAGGTACTAAGCTACTTCATAAAGGATATGTGGTATGCTCTATATACAATTTAATTTTTTCTCTTTTTTTAAACAAGTTTCAATCTTTTAATTTTTACATTTCTATACGTACTTTTCCCAAACTATGAAAAATCAAAGTGTTTCAATTGCACTATTTTTAGGATAAAAGGAAGTGAAACGATTTTTTTTTAAAAAAGTAAAATAGTATGGTAGATATTAATATTATAAAGTAAGATTCAATCCAAACCATACAAATAAATATAGCTAGGGGTATAATTACTCTCTAATTGCTTCCCTAATCACCTTCCCAAACCTTACTTTTGTGCCATTATTATATTTAGGCTTCGTTTGGTAACAGCGTTTTCGATTAGCGTTAGCGTTTTGGATAAAATTTTAATGGTGTAGATTAAATCTAAAAACGCCAACGCTAAAGGCTACCGTCGGATAGCTTTTTGAAAACGCTAACGCTAATCTCTAACGCTGATGCCAAACGGTGCCTTAATCTCAAAAATTGAATTCCAGTTGTAAATTTTTTACAGATCCCACCACCATCATCATTCCATTATTTAATGTATATGTACATATAGTTGTTACTCCCAAAAAATCAAAGACCCTTTGCCAATAATATTTTTCTTATAAAAATCAAATTGCTAGATTAAAAGAGTAAATGAAAAAGAAAAATACATTGCACCCAAAATTAACAAAAAAAAAAAGAAGAAGAGGAAAAAAAACAGAGTAAAGTATATACCTTGAAGCTGCCAAGAGGTGTCCATGGCCAGTCAGTGAGGAATCCTGGCTTGGAAGCCATAGCTGGCAGACTGTGATACCTAGCACTGCACTTTATGTGTTTTTATTTTTGTCTTTGGAAAATATAAATTAAACACAATTTTATTTTCTTTCTTTGAATTCTTTTGTTTATAGTTTCTTTCTCTCTCTCTCTCTTTTTTTTTTCTCTTGAGCTCCTTATTTAGAGCAAAGAATTCCGTGCAAGCCTTTTATAGGTGTGAAGTGAACCTTCTCCCATAAATGCTGTTTCCACTATATCACAACCATTTTTCCAACAAAAGTCTTTTTTTTCTCTTTATTTCCCTCTTTTATTATTAGAATTTCTTTTCTGTTCTTTTTTTTTTTGTAGACAAATTTCGTGGTTTATTTTCACTATTCATTTCATGAGTAAAATAGATGTGTCATCCTTGGTTTTGGTTTTATGAGTACTAATTTGTGTCTCATTTTTAAACATATAAATTTTATTTTTAAAAAAAAACTTTGTACTATTTTTTATATCAATTAAATTGAATACACTATAAGTGGAGCATTATTGTACTCCGAGTAAAATGTCATAGAAAAATCATTTTGTGACGGATGGAGTAGAAATCACGGGGAGATTTGCAGTTGCATCCAATTAGGGAATTAATACATGTAATTTGACCTATTTCCCCGATTCACACAACGAAACTCGTATACGTTCACCACCACAAAAATTGGGCGTAGTAAAAGTCTCGTCACATAACCCATGGTCACAGATGGTTAGTTTGCGAGGAATTGTATTTTTCCGTCGTAGTAACAGTAGTGGCTCCTCGGGTACCAGAAATCAAATTTATTTGAGAAGTTTGTATTTGACTGATTTAAAGAAAAAAATAAATAGGACACCAAAATAATGCTCAGTGTTACATATATTGGAATCGGCGTCACATTACCACCATTCTCAATGTTTTTATATATTCTTATCATTTTGGTGATTATATTGTCATTGCATATTTTGTTTAATTGAGTTTACTTAGATTAGACAAAAATCTGAATAGACGTTGTCAGACGAGTTAGGATGTATAGAGTGCAAGTAGCAAGTCTTAGGGGCGACAGCTCCTGGCGGGGTCCATTATTACTTTATGAAAATCCTTTAGATTTTCGTGAACTGAGTCTAAAACGTTTAAAAATCGAACGTATGGATATACATTTGAAATTATCCCAAACGCAAGCAAATCTTCGCAGAAACGCATCTTCACGTGAACGACATGTCTGGTCGTATTTTTTCGTCTCCACATATATAAAGACATAAGTATGGTTGAGTAATGTCTTGTCCAATTACAGTATTAATGTCTTATCTTCACGCTTGATCTTGAATTAATGTCTTATCAAATTATAGTATTTTGGTATATATATACCTCTAAATAACTTAAATATGAAAGTGTTCTACGTGATTTGTTATAATTTATCAAGTCGATGATCTCGTTGTTCATTCATCATATTCCTTAACCCCCTATTTGAATAGTTTTTTTTAGGAAGATATATAGAAAAGAAGGGAGGAAGATTTGGGAGGAGAAAATAAAATTATTTTCCCTTCTCTTGTTTAGTAATTGATACAGTGATGTAAAATTATAGTACTCCGTACTATTTGAACCTTTTCCCATTTTAGGAGGAAAAGTAATGAAAAAAATACTCCCTTCGTCCTTTAAAAAACTTCCCATTTTGATTTTTAAAGGATTTAATGAGAGTGTATTTTGGTGTTGACTTTCCAAAAATGTCTTTTGATCTGATGGATAAAGTACGATGTGATGGATAGATTAATAGATAAAAAGTATGATGTGATAGGTAGGTTAAGAATTAATAGGAGTAAAGTGACTTTTTAATAGAAAAAGAAAAGTGTTTTTTGGAACAGATGAAAAAAGAAAAGGGAAAAATTTTGTGGGACAGAGCGAGTACACATATTTTAATAAATTTTATTACCATCCTTATTCTCATTCTTCTAAACAAAGACTAAGAGTCTGTTTGAGAATAGCGTTAACGATTAGCGTTAGCGTTTTGAATAGGCTATCTAAGGTAGGGTTGTAAACGAACCGAATCGAATCGAATATTCATGAAAAATATTCATATTCGTTAAGATGGAGTGATATTCGAATTCGAATTCGGTTCGAATATTTTTTAAGATTCGTATTCGGTTCGTTTAATATATTAAACATATTCGGTTCGTTTAAATATTTAATTCGTTTAAATATATTCGGTTCGTTTAAAAATATTTTATAACCATTTGATATATATATATACAAATTATATTCGTTTAAATATATATATATATATATATATATATATATATATATATATATATATATATATATATATATATATATATATATATATATATAAAATTTGTATAATTAGATTTATATTCCGAATATATTTGTCAAACTCACGAATCGAATACCCTTTATTCATATTCGTATTCGATAAGGATTCGAATATATATTCAGATTCGTATTCGTATTCGGATTTGAAAAAATCGAATACGAATCACGAATCGAACAAAAAATATTCGATTCATTTACAACCCTAATCTAAGGGCATCGTTTATTGTTAGCGTTTTCAAAGTAATCTACACTGTTAAAATTTTATCCAAAACGTTAACGTCAATCTCTAACGATATTCCCAAACATGACCTAACACTATTTCAGAGCGTTATTATTCCTCCATATAAAATATTGAGAATACGGGTCCGTTTGGTATAAGAAATTGGTGGAATTGGAATTGAATTGGAATTGTAATTCCATGGGATTCAATTCCATAGAATTGAATTGTGTCAATTTAAATTCAATTTTTGCACTATCAATTCCAAATCTACATAATTTTTGTGTTACCAAACACTAGAATTGGAATTGAAGTCCCTAATTCCAATTCCATAGTTTGAATTCCATGTACCAAACTTTTATTGTTTTAATGACATTTTTCTCATATCTTGTACTCTGTACTTTTTTACTAATTTTTTCTATTTTTGGTAAGCTTTCTTTAGTAGGGAGTTGGCCGGGAGGGTAGTCCTCCCGTATTACTCCTGCAATGGTGGGTCATAGACTCATTCCCTCATGGATGTCCTTCAATAATAGGGCGCCAATAATTTCCCTCACTTGGTAAATTGATAAAATAGCAATTACTATTCACTTATGCCCACTCTTATTCAATTTTTTTGAGCTCCAAATTGTTAAAAAATACCAAAATTTTCAAAATACCAATTACAGTTGTTATTTTCACCAACTAGTGTAGTGGCTTGGTAAAAGGAGAAAAGTATTAAACTAATGATTCTCTTTCCTTATTCAATGGTATTGAGTAATTTTAAGTGAAAGAAAATATAAAAATAATACAAAAAGAATAAACAATGATTAATATGTACTGCCTCCCGAAAGCTTTTTCAGTTTTGAACATACTTTTAAGAACTGGACCGGTGACCGAACCGGTCCAGATCTCTTTCACTTGTCGAACCAGTGATTTAAACATTTTATATATATATATATATATATATATATATATATATATATATATATATATATATATATATATATAATTATTACGGGGGGAGGGACCTCGATTTATATAGGGAACGTGCCACCCAGGAGAACCAATATAATGGAAAAATGACACCGAGCAGATACTATAATCAGCAGTGATGACCTCTCGGGAAGGGGAAACGACACGACAACTAGGCGGCAACGTACCAGTTTTTGTAAAATCTTTCCCGCCAACTTCACCTAGAAAATTCAAAATTATTCAACATTTGATTCTCGCCCTTGATGGTGCCCACAAAGCCGTGAATCGGAAGACTCCTTGATGGGTATAACCCAATGGTACCACCTGGTAAGTTCACAGGCTCCCGAGAGGTACCGAAGTATGATCCCACCTGACCTCACCGACCCCGGTAATCTGACCTGGTGAGTGTCAAGGGTCAGACCTGTGGGATTGCGACTTCATTCGCAGAAGGGTTAAAGTCTGACCAGGCTTGACCTCACCGTCTCCGCTAATCTGACCGGGTGGATGTTGGGGTCAGACCGGTAAGATCATGACTTGAAGATTGCCCGGGTGGATGGCTTGAAGACTGGTCGGCTTGAAGACTACCCGAGTGGATGACTTGAAGATTGGTCGGCTTGAAGACTGCCCGGGTGGATGACTTGAAGACTGGTTGGCTTGAAGACTACCCGGGTGGATGACTTGAAGACTGACAGGCTTGAAGACTGCCCGGGTGGATGACTTGAGATGAAGAGTAGTGTTGAACAGTATATTTTCTATTATTATAAATAGGAGTGAAAGCCTCATAAAGGAGGAGGCACAAAATAATCCGCACGGCTTGTAAACTTGTAAATGGTCCCAACATTATTAATAACTAACCGGGTTACATGTGTTCCCACCTACAACCCGTTAGCTTATTCAGACTTAGTACTCACGTTGGTTTTACACCATCACAACTCAAGTGTCTTATGACCAAATCTGGTGATATCTACATCATCCTAAATTTTATTACAATGAAATGAGTTTTTATTAGTGATTAAAGTTCATTTGAGTTTTGGAACCAAGTACTCCCTCTGTCCGAGATTTATCTTCCTATTTACTTTTTCTTAGCCAAAACATTCAAACTTTGACCATAAAATATGGAAACAATAAATTCAGCAACAAATTTAATACTAATAGATTCATTTTGAAATAAAGTTTTAAAATACCATATTTTTAGAGTATTAAAATATATATAAATAGAGATATTAATAGTCAATATATTGCATTACAGACCGTGAAAAAAACAAACAGAAAAAAGAATTGGGATAGAGATCTTGAGAAGAGGTTAGAAAATTTGAGTTATATAATTATCTGTACTCCGCAATAAATTACCGAGTACTATCTCCATCTCAGAGTATTTGTCTACTTTTGGCTTTTTTCAGTCAACTATTTTCAACCTTTGATCTTTAATGAAAGAAAATATATATTGTATATTAATTAGATAAAATTATATTTTGAAAATATCTAGTATGATAAATACTCTCAGAGGAAGGCACTAATAAGGATTGAGGAGTAAGGTATATATGTGCGTCATTTTCTAACATGGTTGTAGACAAATGAGCTTCGTAAATGTTTTGAATTGATAGTCTTCGAATAATCTTCGATGACGACTATTCTAAAAGATAACGTACCTCCATCTCGATTTAATCTTTCATTATTTGATATTCCCTCTGTTTCATAAAATACTTCACGTTTCAAAAAAATCGTGTCCCTAAAAGTCCTTTCCAATGCTATTAAAAAAATACTTTTATTCTTTACTTTTTCGTACCCTACCTATCACATCATACATTTTTCCTAATAATCTACACATCACATCCTACTTTTGCCCATCAGATCAAGGGTATTTCACTATTTTGGAAAGTCAACACAAAATTATCCTTCCTTATTCTACTACTTTAGTCAAACCGTCTCTATCTTTATGGGACGGAGGGAGTACTTGTTTTGTCTAACATTTGTAAATTTCGATCTCTATATACAAAATAAATAATATTAATAATTTCCTTTTAAAACATGATTCTGAAATATGAAATCTTTAAAAAAAAAAATTACTTACGGTTAAATATCAGCTTTAATGGTCAACGTGACATTCGAAACTGTGAAATGTAAAATAATAAAATTAAAATTCTCCCTCACCATTTAATTTTGTCCTGGTTATGGAATATTTGACTAGAACCTTATTGTTGTATGCTTAGAAGAATAAGTTCAAATTTCATCCTATGTGTTAAAGCATGAATATCATCAAGCTAGTATTTGCATATGACCTTATTATTGGAGGAAATAGAGAATAAACGGGATGTGAACTTTTGTTTGTGCTGTTATGAGTTCTGTAGCCTCTCTTATAGGGTTGGTGTATTTGGACATTGTTGACGAGTTTATCTATATTTGTTTTTGGTTAAAAAAAGATTAAATCCAGAAAAGGGTGTAATATTTTATATGCAGTAGTATTTTTAGTATTATTAATCTATTAATCCGTACAATATGCGGAGTACGTAGTATTATCTATTTATATACTCCCTCCGTCCCGTGAAACATGGGACATTTGCTTTTTAGGAGGGATTTAAGGGGAGTGTATTTTGGTATTGAATTTCCAAAAATGTCCTTTGATGTGATGGGTAAAAGTATGATTTGATGAATAGATTATTAGTAAAAAGGTATGATGTGATAGTTAGGGTATGAAAAAGTAAGGGGTATGATGGTGTAAATTACTTGACCGGCCAAACTATACTAGACCGGGTCTAGAATAGTTCGCTTGATTTGGCAAAGTAAGAAAGGTAAAAACACGCAAATTGACCGGTAGGACTTTAGGTCGAACACCTGTAGCCCAATTTATATTATAACGGAGAATGCACGGGTGCTTTTACAAGGGAGTTTAGAGAGAGTGAATTCGGATCCCCTTTCTGAGGTTTACAAGGGGTATATATACTAAGCTGGGGGGACAGGTCCACGCGCGCCCACGTGGGGGCACGTAGCTGACGTGGTGCGAGATGACTGTCCCTGAGCCGCCTTGTCATCTTGCGAAGGGGATTTCCCTCCTTGTCACGTTCTGGCTTGGAAATATTCCTCCAGGATCTCTGCAATTCCAACCACTAAAGTCCAAGTCCTTTTGGACTCCTCCTGCCGACACTCCTCGACCTCTAAAAGTTGTACCGGTTGATTTCTGAAGGCTTGGATTAATTGTCTTCGGAATCGGTTCCTGCTGATGGAATAATCTGACCGGTATACTTTCCGAAGTGTACCGGTCCACTTTTTGGTCACTCGGTGGTCCATTCAGATCTCTCTTCAAAGTTTGACTTCTTTGACCGGTCAAGTATCCGGTCCTGACCTTTGACCGGTCGTGGGTGAAATACACCCATCA